GCCTGGAATGAAAATGAAGCACACCCAGGGGCAACACAAAGAAGTGGTTGCTTTGCTTAAAGAACGAAGCCTGAACACGTCAATCCGACTCTATCATACTCCAACATCAAATTGGAAAGACAATTGAAACAAAGCCCTTGCCTTTTCGAGCATTGCGCGCACCTCTTCCTGGCTCGGCAATTCTCCGTCCTGTGACAGACACAGATGACACAGTAAAGTCTGGGAGTTGAAGCATGTGGGGTCCCCACTGGCTGGCTGTTTCTTTTATGTGATGTTGTGTCTTTTTTGATATGTTGTTTTTTGTATTTTTTCTGGCTGGTAGCGCTTTCATATGGTAATGCAGGGGTACCTGATGATTTTGGTTTGGCTTTAGTGAGGTGCTTCGGTTTTAGCTTCCCCGCTGGCAACTCACAGCAGAACGGGGCAAGCATCCCCGCCCACTGTGACTGTGAGCAGCACAGATTCCTCGCTGGCAACTCACAGCATACAGCCTTGGCCATTGTGAGCAGCACAGCACTGTGAGCAGCATAGCCTCTAAGCCAGCCACAAGAGAAAAAAAAAAAAGAAAACATAAAAAACAGCACCCAAAAGCAACAAAAAACAAAAGCTACAGAGGCTAAAAGCTAATGTCAACACCAGATTAATCAACCCCCCTTCAAGGTCAACAAGGTTTGAGACTGGAAGTATTGGAAACCACATCCCCTTAATAAAGGTGATGACCTGATGATGGATGATGAGATGGTTGATTGGATTCTGTGTGAATCATGAGAGATTGAACCATGAGAACCATAAGAACGTATATTGGCACAAGCTTGGTAAGAGATCTGATAGGATAGACCTGATAGGATACAGGATACATGATAAGAATGCTTGATGGATGAGAGGATCAGCATGGGAAAAGGGTGGATCAGAATGCTATCTCTCAAAGAGATGGCATGAAAAAAGGGTTGATCAGAAGATCAGTTTCACCATGAACCAAACAATATTGGATACTGACCCCCCCAAAAAAAAAATAGGAGACTTATATATATATAATAGAAAGCACTTTTCTGCTTTCTTCTGGGGCAGCTGGGCTTGATTAATAGGGGGAGGTTTCTGCGTGGATTGTTTATTAGGGTGATGGACATGTGGAATTCAGGCTTTAAATTAGTTTAGTATTGGGGGCTCGAGCTAGGATTGATTAATAAGGGGAGGTTACTTAATCCTGCCAACATTACATAAACCAAAAGTCTCCAAACCTAATCACTACAGAAGCCAAAGCCACGGACGCCAAAAGCCGCCGAAACCAAAAGATACAGAAGCCACAAGCCACAGAGACAAGTCTCCGAAACCAAAAGCTAAAAAAGCCAGAAGCCACAAAAGCCACAAGCCACAGAAGCCTTCCGTGCCTTTCCGTTCCTTTCCTTTGACCGTGGAGAAACATTCCCACAAAAAAAACATGCTTTGAAAAATTGAAAAATCCAAGTTCCATCCATCATGTGGGCGTGTATTGAAACAGGGCCCCTCAAAGAGTACAGTATAATGCAGGCCCATCCACCAAGCCATGCCCTCCAAAGGCCACCAACAATTCGACGCATGGCTAACGGCGTCACACGCCTTCTTGCTGGCTTTCTTCCTCAGCCAACATGGCTCCCCTTCAAAACCATTGAAGGGAGTCATCTGTACTTCCTTTGCGTTTCCACCAAGCAAGAAGCTCGAGAGTATGTTCAACCCGCATTCCCATTTTGGTTTGCAATGCCAACCTTATATATATATATAACTATACTGTAAACAACTACTGATTCCCTCAGTTTCCCTGGAAATACATGTCAGCCTTTGTCCACCTGCTCAATCCAGTCCAATTCAAAAAATAAAGGTGATCCAGGTGATCTACGTAGGACTAGGCCCATCTTGGCTCATCTCCCATGCCCGTTGTCGCCCAGAAACGGTGCAGGTGCTGCAGCTAAGCCTTCAAGCTATGTTCAGCTGTGCTGTCCAATCGCAGTTCAAGTGGCCAACGTCGAAAGAATTGCAGATTTGGTAGCAGCTACTCAGCTACTCAGCTACTCCTACATGGCTTCATCATGCACAAAGTCGTGGAATGCATCAAAGTCATGAAACCGTGAAGGCCCAAAAAGGCCCCTCGACAGGGCCCTGGTGGGCCTGGTGGCACGCTGGCTACAGATGGGAAGAGCGAAGCAGCCTCGCCAAGAAGACCAGCTCTTCATGTGTGTCTATGCAAGCACTGGCCAAACTGGGTGCAAATATATACAGTGTATTATATATATATATACCTACAGGTGTGCAAATGTTCAATAATGAATGGGATTCATGCGTGTTCTGTTTCCTGGATGGTTGTTCTGGGGTATGTCCTGGTGGATTGTGCAACACGTGTCAGTTCACAGTGTTGTTTCTTCATCCCAGGAATCACGATCGAATGCTCGAATGCTCAACAATGCCAGGGAGTTTCAACTGTGCCGAACATTGTGCCGAAGGGGGTGATTGTGAAGGTTGATCTACGTTGATTCATCTGTTGCAGCCATGCGTCTACCATCGTCTACCTACAGTAAAGAGAGCTGTGCCAGCTGGGGGCATCTTCCTTACTTCCCGAAGATCCCACCTGTTGCTCCAGTTGCGTGAGGCGCTCCGTCAGCGCATCCAAGGCACGCTGCTTCGCCTCAGGAAAAGCAGAAGCACCAAACACCTTCGTTTGGATGGTCAGCGAATGTAAGTCAGGTGTCCGAAACACACTCCTGCCTAGCACCCCTGACAAAAACAAACCTCTGTGCAAAGGAGAGACTTATGTATGTTGTGCATCTCACGTCTGTTCATTCGCAGGTGCAGCGACCAAATATCCCGCTTACATGTCCAAAAGCTGAATTCCTCTCCATGACGGAAAGCCTAAGTAGCACACTGCACCTGCCCGCAACATGCGGTCCACCTTCTCAATCTGAGCATCTACCTTCAATGACAAAATCAAGGAATCCTTTTCAGCGGTCCTGCTTTAAACAAGTTCTTGCCTGCTCTGCCTTCGGTTGTGGCTGCGAATCAAGCTTTCGTCTAGCCTGGTCAAGGATAATCCGATTCTCCAAGTACTGTGACCCAGGCGGAATCGAACAAAGTGCTAACAGCAGCCAACAGGAACCCGCTCTTGTGCTCACCTCACCTACTGCCTTGATGCCAGACAGGCTCACAATATATTAGACTATGTTCGGTACATGTGTGCCTCTTGGACGATAAGATTTAAAGTCTCACTGGACATGCAAACGGCCTCGTCAAGGGCATCACGATGGTGCCGCATCAGATCCGAATTGTGGTTGTGAGCCAGAATTGTTCGGTGCAGATCCTGCAATTGTTGGGGCGCATGGGAGAAATGGTCAGATCTCCGCCCAACATGGTCAAGAGTCAGGAGTGAAACCGATTTCCAACAGTCAGAAACCGTCAGAAACTCCCTTTCCTGCTTCAGAGCTTTCACCTCTGACCCCCATTTCTGCTCCAACTGTTTGATCTTTTGACCTCGCATGCAAAAATGGATTCAAAATGGCTCAAATACTCTTGCGGTCACCATTTCTTTTGTCTGAGGACGTCACTGCTGTATGTCACAGCTGAAGCCTCAACTAACAGCTAAGTGCCAGGCTTAAAAAAGCACGGTCAACGGTCACAGAAGGATCTGGGGAGCCTAGCACAGCAGCCGCCAACCACTGGGAAACCGAGCAAATCTGAATAGCGAGCAAATATGCATCCCGAATTCAGCTGCAAAAACTTGCACACAGTAATATGTTTGGCACGAATAAGGCTGGGGAATTTAAGTCTGACGTTCGTTGGTCTTCCACGTTTCCAGTCCTGCCTGTGCTATTCAATCGCACGCAGCGGTCCAAGCGCGTTGACAAATCAGTGATGTGTGCCTCAAGGAACCCTGAGAGTAAACAAGCAAGTTTACTAAACAGCGAAACACCCTGCACAATCTAGGGTGATTCATTATGAACATTCCACAGTCATCCATCCGATCCCATCTGAAAAAGGTTGACGAGCATTTCAACCTACCAAGAACTGAACTATTGTTTGCCAGCACATATGTTGCCTCTTGTGCATCTCACTTCTTGCCAACTTGAAAACCAGCTCCTCCATCTGTTGCAATTGTGTGCGGGCGACGTTGAGCTCATGCCTCTCGAAATACCAAAGAGCCGGGAGCCTGCCTTCGAATGCCCTCCCTTTTGACAAACATGGCACGTTATATAATCGGACCAAAGGGGTAGGAGTTCTAATCAGGCAATCTTCTATGATCTTCTAAGAATCTTCTATGTAACTACTGGTCATTAAGACAAACAAGTCTCCCGACTTGGCAAGTGGCAAGTTGGATCCATGATTCATCCATGCAATGGTTCAGAATGTGAGCCTCACGCGCTGCTCAGAGTCCTTCTTCGCCTGAAGGATCATCTGCTCGACCTTCACATCATTGCCATAATTGGGTTCCAACCCTCCCACCAGTCTTTTCGCACAATCTACAAAGGAAGCCCGCGAGACCCATCTGCTCCGAGTCACCTGTTTGCCGATGGCGGACGCCACATCGCCATGGAGCGACGCCGCCCTGAGACGGCGGGGGCAAGGGGCAGGGCGGAGGAATGCGGGTCTGGAAACCTATCTATCATTGGCGCCATGCGTGGGCCATAGGCCCACAACACACAGCGCAGCAAAAGGCAAACAACGAATCTGAGCACCCTGCATGGCACCCCAAATGCCCCGTAGTAACGGGGTGAGAGCCCTCTTGGACTAAAATGGCAGCGAAACATCAGTTCTGCACGTCTCCATCATCGTGCTGATTGCCATGAAATCGCCCATTTCATGTGCTGTGAGAGATACAAGAACTTATATGTGGTCTTCGTCTAGTAGCGCGTCTTTGCTCCTAGTAGCGATGCCCTTGTTCCTAGTAGCTTCTTGTTACTACTAGCAAGGCACCCGTTACTACTAGCGATGCACTTGTTATGGCAGTCCTTTCCCCGCTTCACTCTTGCTGTTCTCGCCTGCATGCCGGCCATCTGATCCATGAGGCCCGGCAAGCCACTCCTGGCTTTCACGTCGACCATCGCTTTCAACGTCTGCGTCACCCATGCGCCGAAGGTGTTCATGTTTCAGGTTCGGTTCAACAAAGCCCACATCTCCTCAATGCCCTTAGAGCCGGTGGGAGGCCCTGCGTGCAACTGCTCTGCCATCTGGCAGTCTATGAAGCAACTTCCACGACTTCCCCCTTTCTTGGCTTCTATGTTTGGCCGAGAGTCTATCATATCGTCCTCATCAGCTTCCTGCCACCAATGTGGAACGAGAACGTACGAACTGGAAAAAAATAAATATATATATATATATTATTTTTTTGTTCAAAGGGATTGCCAAAATTCATGAGGTTGCGGGAAGGTTCTTGAAGGTAGCAGGATGTCAAAGCTAAGGCAGCTTTAAGGGGTGCATGCAAAAGCTGGAGGTCCTCATCTTCCTGTGGCACTGTCGTGTTGCTCCGAGGAATCACCACAGTCAAGTTGCCACTACCTGAGTTGTACCTCAGAACTCGGTCAAACAAACAACTTCTATATATTTTAACTTAATTACTTCTTGTTACTAGTAGCGTCCTTGCTCCTAGTAGTAAGGCCAGGAGCCCCTACAGTAGTAGCGTTCTTGCTCCTAGTAGCGATGCCCTTTGCTCCTAGGTTTCATCGCTCTCCTTCAACCAAATGTTCTTTCAACCTTGGCTTCATTGCCTGTCCTCTTTGCTCTCCGTACTCTGTCTGTTCATCTCCTTCATTCACACTAAGTTACAGTATATAGATGTTATTTGGTCTCTCAGTCTATCGTACTCAGTCTGATGTGCCATGAGTTACCCACATGATGTACTGTCCCACTGCTGCATGTCACATGGGGCACGTGACCGACACGTTCTTCACGTCGCAGCCCTTGGGCACGGAGAAGACCCGCTGCACAGCCGATGGCGGTCGTGGCTGATGCCAGGGTATGGGCCGAAAGTAGTGGTGACCCCACGGCCACTCGTCCAAAACGCTTCTAGACATGTTGGCTCCAAAGCCTTACAGAATTCAACACACTGATCGCGCAAATTATTTCAAACCTATATAGCTGGATCAGGCCTGCCATTGGCTGATCAAAGGCCCTTGATGATGGGTGCCGCTGATAACCAGCGACCTGCGAAATTGTGAATTTCGGACATTGCAGCCAACACTAGTGCCCAAAGCAATCTATATATATATATATAATCGCCACACTGCCACACCTACCAACTGCACGAACAGAGAGCGGCTTCTCGCTTGTCTTCGTGCCAAACTGGCCAAGGCTTGGTGGAAAAAGGTGCGATCTTACGCAAGAAAGCTCGAAGAGGGTCACTACTTCAATGTTAGACACGCTTGCAAGTAAACAAAGAGTGCTTGGCGTATCTTGGCATAGCGTATATGCATGAGGAAAACAGCCATGCACTGGTACGGCTACAATGATGTGTGACTGCGTGACTGCACCAAGACTAAGAGCCATGTCAGGAGCCTCATAGCCTGGGAGAACTGCTGAGATGAGAACACGACTCTGATGATCGTCGTGCACCTTACCAAGCTCACGTCAAGCTCTTCCAACATCAGCATGAACTCCAAAACAAAAGAAATAACTCCCGTCGGCCCGTCGAAAAACAAAAAAAAACATATAATTACTGGTGCTTCAACAGTTCACTACTGTTGAATCCTACGGACATCTTCAACCAACACGTGTCTCAGTGCCTCGAAACTGCCCTGTGCCAAGCCATGATGACCTGTCGATGCCAGACTCGACATTCTCCGAGACGGCCAGCTGAGGCCCATGAGTAGGGTGGTCGGTGGCAAGAACGAATGATCATGTCCAACCTGTCGATTGGCTTCTTTCAGGAGCATACCACAGATGTGTGTTCATGATGTTGCTGATGAACCCTGTGAAAGGGGCGGCTGTTACTCGCTTCCAACTAAGAGACCAGGAGAAGCCAAGCAACAAGGCCCTAACAAGGCGTGAACTAGTTGGCGCTCATGAATGATATTAAAGAGTTCTACCCCAGCAGCTTAGCTCGAGAGCGGAAAACAACATAAACAGCGTCAAACACCACCATCCAGGAATTCAGCTGCAGTGTCGCAATCAGCTTTCGATCCCTGATGCACATGAGCCTTCACCAGCAAATGTTGCTGGATCCTTGCTTGGCGTTGATGGCCACTGCTCTGGAGAAAGCATCTCACCATGTTTCAAGCAAAGTTCCTTCAGGCACCAGGTTACCCCGGGATGTCTAACAAGGCAAACGGACTTGCTTAGACGAGACGTTGATAGAAAGCATAGGGCTCTCTTCATGGATTGCGTTTATAATAGCAGTGTGAATTTCACACGCCATCATGGAACAGAACCTCTGTGCGTGAAATGTTTTGTTTGTTTGTGGTGGGGAGCCTTCATTGTGCTGTGGCAATTTAGCTGTGGGATGCCAAAACTTAGCTGAAAGGCCCACAAACATTCAATTCCGAGAGAAGGTCCACCAGGGGAATACAAAAGTATTTATATAAAGAATGCCTTCTGAACTTCCCAAACAGCACGGTCCGGCCACACCTGCATGATGGTCGCCAAACATGTCCAGCAAGCCTCCCAGCTGCATCTGCATCTGGAGCGGCGAGCTTATGTTTCTGCGATTGTGTGCCTCAAATGTCAACTTATGTACAGTAACTATTCATACTTTATCCATTCATAGGGCACTCGCTTGCAACAACGAAGTCTTTGATTAATGTGGACCGACGCCAAGTAGTTTTGAGCCTGCACAGGCTGCACAGCTGTAGGCCCTCCAGCCTCGAGGATGCCAGGAAACACAAAGCACTGGATCAAGGTCCAAGAACATCTTCCCCACCTGAGCCTGGACCACCCGTTGCACATTCTTGTGCAAGTCCTACCCGCAGCCCGGCTCGAGGACAGGCAGTGCCCCTGACAAAACAATTGTCTCTCCTCCCAGGGGTTAAAGCCACTGTGGTGCTCGACGACAATCACCTGAAGCAGAAACTGCTGCAAAGGGAGGGGGGTGCATATCATTGGAAAATCAAACAACCAATGTCCGGGGATTGTTTATGAATATCTGAAAGTGGCCAGTAAAGTTCCGACATGCCATGCAAGTCATGAACGGACTATATATGCAGACATGAAAACACTAGGATTTTGAAAGAATCACACCATGCTGCTACAGAAAACCCTCGTGGCTGAAGCATGCTGAGGCTGTCTGTCGTGGCAACTGTTGTGTGAAAACCTGAGGTTCCCAACCGGCGCCCGACCAAAGGGGAAAGCACCCGGAAAAGCGTGCGGCAAACCGTGAGGGAGCCCGTGGGGAAGCGGCTGCACCTGGCCACTGGAAAGCAGATCTAAGCGCATTGACAAAAGTGTCCCGAATGCCATGAGCTGTCTTTGGACTTCTTTTGCATATTGCCTTGGGCACTTCTCCCAAGATCCCTTCGAATGGCCAACCGCCATCAGTCCCTGAGATCCAAAACGCTACGTCTCTTGAAAGATATCCGAAGCTGGTGAGGTGCCGATTGGTCGAGACCTTCCCACTTGGTGCCGAGCCAGGGAGCACCAGGAAAGCTACACATAAAGCTAGGTGCATCGAAAGCATGGTGTGGCAAGCGGCTGTGTTATGCATGTTAGAATCAGCTGAGAATTGGGTGTGAGTGAAGGTCTCTTTCTGTCTGCTCTCCTTTCTGAAGGTCGTCAGAGTCTAGCTATATTTTGCAGCAGTTTCTTTGCTCGGAGTGCACCACTGTCAAAAGTCTTAGCAACAAGACCTCCTTTTCTCTAGAAGTTCGTTTAAGCATGTCCTCTGAAAGGCCACATGGCTAGGAAAGCAATCCTTGGTCCAAAGCTAGATTCGATCGGAAAGCTGAATTCCTCTATGAATGTCTTCATGCATCATAAAGTGAACTCTATGACCATACTAATTGCCCTGCTGAATGTATCTCTGTGTCCTTCTTAGGTGTCTCATCCGTCCATGTCCCCTGCATCTAACGCCTCCGGACTTTTTGGAACGGCTCCGGCATTTTGGAGCTCAAAACGGATTGTCTCTCAGAAGACTTCTGGCAGCAGACTCGCTGACGCGAAGTAGGATGACATTCCTCAGAATTCAGGCAACAATTCTGGAGAGCCAGCACAACATAGCACAACTATGCACAACTGCATGGACTGCATGGATGAAACTGTGCGATCGCAAAGTCGATTTCCTGAATTGATCTGAAGTTACGGTGGATCCGTGTTTTAATTCCTCCCACACTACAAACAGCATGCGTATATATACATATATATATAATATAGCACCCTTGACCCACTAGGCTATTGAATCTCACCTTCGCAGTAGTGAAAAGATGTGAAAAGTCCTATGGCATCCAAGCAACAAAACACCAGAGATTACCAAGCTGATGAGGCAGGAGCCAACGAGAATGCCATTTCCCAGCATCCAGTAGTTCAGCTCCACCTGCAGAAACTCCACCAACTTACGAGTACAGTACAACATCATTCCGCTTGATATTCCAACAGCTCCAAGCTAAGCCCAAAAACCGAAACACATCGCCTTCTCAGGATCCACCACCCACTGGACGAAAATTGGTTCCTTCGCACTCGCTAAGCCATAGGCGGCTGCCGCCTGCCTCACCGCCAGGCGATACCTGATCACGAGATTCCCACTGAAACATGGTCGCATTGACCGGTTCAACGCATTCAGCTGCGAGGGTTTCTAAGCTAAGAGGTTGCCACATGTTGCCAAGCTGCTGGTCTCGCGCTTGCAGAACAAGCCCAGCATGTGCTTTCTGATCCCAAGCATCGTCGCACTCAAAGGTGCCTCTGCTGCAACAGTCCATGCCGGCAGCCCAAAACTGGATTGGGCCGCCGCTGGCGTCGATGACTGGAGCAACACAATAAGTGGCACCGTCCTAACACATCATTTAACACATCTCGAACGTTTAAGCACTGGGAATCTCAGTTCAAAACAGGCTTGCCGCACCACGTGCCGAAATGTCAACTTGAATTGAAGCTGTCCTTGAAACTCATGCCTTTCGTCGCATCGATACGGGCCTCCTCCGCAAATACCAACTTTCCAGCATCCAAGTAGCCAGCTGCTGGCTCAGAGGGCAACACGTTGGCATAGGCATGGCTATCATGGTAGAGCCAATAGATTGAGTAGAAATTCCTGTAGGCAACCAAGCCCAGGATGCAGGAGACCAGTATTCCAGCTATGCAAGAGATTGGCAAGATTCTCTGCCAGTGGTGATCTCCAGGTTCATGACGGATGTGCCACACAAACACAGCAAGCAGTGTCAGCACAATGAGCCACACAGAGAGTGGCATGCCATGGTAGGTTGATGCAAATAAGTAGCCTGCAGAAACATGTACACACGTTCTTCAAGCAGGTCACTCAGAAGTACTAGTGATAACAATGGCCAAAAGTAAAATGTGTAGACTCAAAAATCAAGGGCGGGCGGTTCTGCTTTATATAATTGACGCTGACAAGGATCAGAGAATTCAGTACAAATCATGCACCAAAAAAATCAATTGCATTGGCACCCTTACGGCTACTACTACCCAGGAAGCCGGCTTAAAGGCGTGCTATATAACTGCTAGCCATCCACAAGCACTTGTGCATCCAGAGTGCTCACAAGGACTCCAACAAGCCAAGGGAACGCTGTGAGCACTGTGAGCTCAAAGATGCTGAGCCTCGCCCAGGCACCAAGTGGCCCTTCATCACGCCTTTGGTGGAAGATTTCTTAAAATGATGTCATTCTGTTCACAACGATTGAAACGCTCTCTCTCTCTCTCTCACCTACTTTGCATTGGTTGACTGTCGCAGCCACCTGCCCGAGTCTTGGCCCCCCGGCCATTGCTTCATTGTCGGCCGGTCTGCGAAACTGCTTCGCAGAAACCACTTGAGCCAAAAACAGAACCGCAACCTCCATCACGCGGTTCTACAACTCCACAACGCAAGGACGTACCGTAATCCAAACGCTGTTATGTCATTGGAGCATGGCTGACTGCAATCACTATGCTGCCAGGCCGGCGGAATCTCCAAACAAGTGCTTGAATTTGGGGACAACGAAGTGAATCCTAAAAGTTGTGATATTCTCGCCCAAGTCCCTGCGGAAGAGACAAAAATGTTCTAAGGAAGGATGCTATGTAATATGAAGGTTACATGGTAAAAAGGGGACAAGTGTAGAGCGGGTAGACAATAAGAGTGGACGTCCTGGCACTGAGACCAGAAGCACAATGTGAAAATTATTGTGGCTCACACCACCAAGCTGCGGCCAAACCTCTAAACTCTAAACACTTTGCAAAGAAACCACTTCACCGCAGCCAAAGGTTTTTGCCTGCATTTCATCCCTGCGGCCTTTGCGAAGCCGCTGTCCAGTGTGAACAACGTGTCAATCAAGCTATGGCTATGGGTCTCCTTCCTTTGTATCAGGATCCTTCAGTTTGAGCAGCATTCGGCAGCATTCTTCCGCATTGGCATGTCGCCATGCACCAGCCTCTTGCAGAACATGTAAGTCCCACACAGCACGCTCAGCATCATTGCGCACAGACGGATCGGCTCTCAATTCCAAAAGCAAGCAACACATGGCCCAGTTCCGCCCATTCACAGCATAGTGCAATGGGGTTCCTCCTTTGGGCCCGCGCGCATCTACTTGTGATTCTGCTTCAGTAACGAGCTTAAGGCCTATGTGTCTCGTGTGTGTTGGAGGGACATTGCCCCAATGGAAGGCAATTGCATGCAGAGATGTCTCCATGCTTTGAAGACAAACATCCCGGGCACCAGCTGCCACCAATGCATCAAACACGCCCATAAAATTAATGTCGCGAGAAGCTTTTCCAATTCGTTGGGATTGGTGTGGCATATTCCACTTCTTAATGCAGAGCTGCAGGGGGCTAAACCCACTCTCTGCACAAGCATTGGGATCTGCGCGTGCTTGCAACAGAGCGCTAACACAATCAGCGTAGCCGCTCAACGCCGCTAGGTGAAGAGCCGTGATGCCACCAAGCGGTTTTTGACTAGCTGCACGGCCAAGCCTCTCAAGCAAGCTTTGTTGATACCAAACCTTCTTTGGGTCTGCATGGGCCACACGTGGCCTTTCTACGTCTGCCACCTTCCACCCACAAGGAATGCCATCCACCTGCGCTTGAAACTCCAGCAGAAGCTCTACACAGTCTAGGTGGCCTTGGGCTGCTGCAAGCTGCAAAGGCGACAAGCTCCACGATTTGAGGTCAGGTGCACGATGTGGATCAGGAGGCGAAGCACACAAAAGCCTTTTGAGGGCCTGATAGTTTCCGAAGTAGCTGTATGTCGGCCCTGGCTTGAAGCAGGAAAACCATGGCACTCTCAGATGCATCAGGTCCCTCGACTCCTGCTGCAACTGCCAGCGCGGGTGTCCGGCGCAAGGAGCTTGCAGAGGGCACCCCACGGCCGTAGTAGCTGCCATTCTCAAAGGCATCGAACCCACGAACTGTAATCAGCTCTGGGTGGAGATGAGCCATGAACTGTAGCACACCAACACTATTGGCACGGACTGCAGCACAAAAGAACGCACCTAGTGGTGCCCAGCGTTTCAGCTCATCCGATTCTTCCAAGAACCGCGCCTCCAGGGAATTCAGCGCTGACAAGGCACAATGCTCAAAGCTTTTGCAAGGAGATGACAAAATCGTAGCAAACTGTTCTGCAGTGAGCCAGCTCTGGGACTCAGTTCCCTCTCGAGTTGTGCCAGCACCGTTGCTTTGACCATTTTGACCTCGCTTGCGCAAGCTGTCACACCTTTTGCAAAGAACAGGCCGCAGCACCCGTTGTCCGATCGTTTGGCCCACGCCACACTCGCTCCAAGGGCGCTGCAACTCTCCAGCTCTACTTCGGTGAAGCTTTACTTGCTCACTAGCTAGGTTCAGGATTTCAGTGAGGCTTATTCCCGGTGACGCCAGCAAATTGCTGGCAATCTGGAAGCCTAGGCTATCCTCAACACTGTCCCTGATGCAAGTGCCTTGGTCACCTGCCCACAAGATGTAGAAATCTGACATCGCGGAACCATCTGCGCAAGAATCGCAAGAACCAGGACCACTCGCCAAGTCTTCGTCTTCTAATCCAGCAGTTCTCAATCCGAAAGCCCTGGCACTGACTCCGTTGGCTTGCTGGCTGGCGCGCGGCGGCGCTCGGAAAACATCGTTCTCCTCATTCTCGCGGCAACAATCAGGCACGGCGAGAACAGCTATTTGGGGGGCAGTCGCCAGCAACCGATGAAGCACTTGCGAAAGCGAAATGCCCCTGGAGCTTTGCCGCATCATCATCCAAAGCTCTCCTCCTTGCTCGGCACCATGCCCAGCAAAGTAGAAAAACACAAGATGTTTGAGCTCCGGTTGCGAACTCACCTGTCGCTCGAGTTTTTCAAACTCGCCCCAGAATGTGTCCTCTGTCACATCTTCGAGCATCGCAACTACAAAGCCAGAACGACGCAAGGCTCTCTGGAGCTTGCGACCTGGTTCCATTGTATGCTCCAGATCCGCCCGGCTTGGGCTGTAAGCACTGTTGGTCACAATGAAGGCACGTCGCAGGGCCAATTTTTGACTAGCAACAAAGGTGGCTTCAGCATGGGATCGATCTATTGGTTCTATTGCAGCTGCCACATGGTCTTGCATTGCGTCTTGGCTTGTCGCGTCCTCGTCGGCTGGGGACCTCTCTGAAACCGGTGGAAGCTCTCCTTGTTGCGCACGATCTTTCATCAAGCTGCCAACGCCTGTTGTGCCCGAAGCGGCCCATGTTCCTGCGGTAATCACTTGGATCACACCTTGGCGACCTTTTGCTTGAGCCTTCTGAAGCGCTGTGTGCCCTTGGTTGCATCGGATCTCTGGATCTGCCTGAAGCATCAGCAGTTGCTTCGCGATGTTGCTGCGTCCAGTGCGCGCAGCCATATGCAATGGAGTGCCTCCACCATTGCCTAGACCATTGAGCTCCGCCCGGGCATCCAGCAAGGCTTCCACCATTTTCCAGTTGTCGTGCCCCACCGCCTTCAGATTTCACTGCAATGCTACGCTTCATTGCCAATGGTTGACAACGCGAAGTAATTCTGAAAAGTGTGGACCAATCAATCTGAAGCATGCAAATCAAGTTGGAACAAGAACCAAAAGCCGTCATATGCCACATATTAGTATATATACGTATATTGTATATACATATGTATAAGCTGAATGCACAACTCAAACCATGAAAATGCCAAAGCAACATAGAGCAAGTTACACCACGATCGGCACATCACTCCCAGCCCCAAACTCCAACCGGTTTTTGGCGACACTGGCGTCAGACACTGCGTCAGAATGCTACAAGGCAGGGGGCCTCCTGGAGCTGGTGGCAGTCGGGATATCCACCAGTAAGGCATCACTCGGGATTCAGTCAATCTTGCGTGTTCGCCCACATGGGTATAAAGGTGTTCTTGACTGAAGTCAAGACTGGCCAAAAACATGAACACTATCGTTCAAGTGGGCCTTTGGGATCTTCGCGCTGGCCCACAAGGAACTGCAAGAAGTTACTTTTCAGAAAAAGGGGTGTGGTGAGGAAACTCGAAGTCTCTCCTACACCTATTCTCCATCTTGGCTCAAGCCGCGTAACTCGAAGAGTCGTGGGAGCAGCGGAAAATAAGTGCGTCGGGATTTCAAAACGAGAAGTGTACCAAAGTTTTCGATCGTTGGACAGGACAACAACCTCCTCAAGGCTGACGCGTTGAAAAACGCAAGAAACTGGGGCGGAGGGATTGGGTCTCTGAGTTAGAGTACGAAGATGGCACATATACAATTGACAGCTGCAAGCAGCAGCCCAAGCTACTTCAACCTTTTCTACCGGCGCGCTGGTCTACCGGTGAGAACGGTGTAAGCCTTGCGCTTAAGCAGTCAATCCCACGTACCGACCAAGACCTTTCAGGTCACAGCGTTAGGAAAATCTAGTTCCTGATTCGAATATGAAAATGTCCGTTGGGAGCGCGAAAAGTCGAAAAGTCGAAAGCTCAAAAAATTGATTTTGGCTTTCGGACACATTCGAAAAGGAAAAGAAAAAATCCGAAAAGTTGAAAAGTTCATTTTGTCTCAGGCCCAATCGAAAAGTCACAAATTCCGAAAAGTCGAAAAATCCGAAAAAGTCGAAAAGTCGAAAACGAACGAATCCAGTGTCCTTTCCAATGTAAGTCACTAAGTCACACTGAGTCACGGGCGACAAAGAACCTTCCATGGACCCTTCTACTTTAGAAACATTGAAAATTTCAACAAACATTGCAAGGTTGGGAGTTCGGACCGCCAGTCTAAGGCATCAGAAAGAATTAGACGTTAAGGTGGTTCTGGCGCTTCCAGCCTGGGAGTTTCGAATGACACTCTTGAGAGCGGTTATCCTCCTTGGAAATGGCTGCGGTTTCCTGAAGAAGTGCCAGAAAAACGACATTGCACGATGGAGCGGATGGAGCGCATGGAGCAGATGGTGCGGATGAAGCGGATGGCGCGGATGGAGAGGATGGAGCGGATGGAGCGGATGGAGCGCATGGAGCAGATGGTGCGGATGAAGCGGATGGTGCGGATGGAGCGGATGGTGCGGATGGAGCGGATGGAGCGGATGGCGCGGATGGTGCGGATGGAGCGGATGGAGCGGATGGAGCGGATGGAGC